AGCTTTCTAGCTTCCATGATCTGCAGTAAGCTCAACTACCAAAACTTACTGATCTGCTTTGTCTAGTAAAGCCACATTTTTAGTATTGCAATCAGCACAAATGGAGGTATCAGATGAAAAAAGCAAATGAATGTATAAGAAGGTGGCATGTTTGCCAGCAAAATTAAGGGCTAACAAAAGTTTTAAGAATAAGGAAGTACTGTGCAATAAAGGAAATAAATATACAAAACCTACCGATGGATGCAGCGTAACAACAGCAAAGCCGAAGATCAATATAAGGGTCATCACTATAAAGAAAGTGTTAAGCCCACAATCCTGTCCAGATGGAGTGAAAAAGTGGAAGAGCAGTCCGTTGAATGCAAGGGTAGCCACATAACATACAAGTGAAACGACAAGCAATGCCACATACCTGTAAAACAACACAACCAACCAAGAGTAGGAAGAGAGATTAGAGTGAGGAGGCTAGCGAAAACAGCAAAAATAACTATGCAATACATATAACAAAACTAACCAGAACTGCTCATCGTATCCAACCCATTTGTCATTCCAACTGTGCACAAAATCCAACAAGAGCACAACTTGCACAAGGAGAAATAGTCCAGAACCAAACTTGGAAATTGTCTCTGTATTCACAAATAAATACTCAGGTGCAAATCCATGTGTATGGGAAATAGAGTTTGAAACTTTGTACAATAGTTTAACACATCAATTACAAAAGGACTCTTCAAGAAAAATAGCTCATCTTACCATAGAAGCTGATGATTCCATTTGGAAGGAAAAACATGAATATTACCATGAGGCACCAGCAAATGATTTTCATCATCCAACCACCATGGTGCATACTGTCACGTGGGTCTTTCTGGTTCTTTACACCAATCATTAAGATTGCTAAAATAGTGAAAAATAGGAAGTTCCCCAAGCTAACCCGAAGCACAGCATCTGTTTCAAACCACTCTCTGTTTGGTGTCGTGTGAAAGCTATTAATCCCTGCAATATAATCAATGGGTAAAGATTCTTGGAAGATTATACAAGCCACAAAGAGTAAAACTACAATATCATCCAGCCTATACCAAAATCAAGGTTGTAGACTTAAGGCGCCACAAATAAGCTCACAATATCACCTCAACAAGTTGACTGGGGCTGGAAGGGACAATAGAGAATGAGACACACACACACAAAATTATTTCAACCTTGGGTAAAGCTCAACATTGCTTACTCATCCATGCTGCTTTCATCAACTTCAGAGAAGCAACTCTAGATTTTATTTGTTTCTAATCGTGTTGCACATGAGCTATCGTGCCATATCTTCCTTATCTATTTCGGAAAATAATTTTAAGGCTTAGGCAAAGTGTTCAATTCTAAGTCCTCTAAAATTACCACTGGAAGGTCTTCCAATGATCAGACATTAGCAAACAAAAAACAGCTTGCCAAAGCATCACTACAGCAACAACAGCATACCCAGTGACCACAAGTGCAGTCTGGGCAGAGTGGTGAGTGCGCAGTCTTACCTACCTTGTGCAAGTAGAGAAGTTATCGATAGAGAAAGATTCACTGTAGCTAAGCAAATAATTGAAGACTCACAACTCACAAGCTCGACTCCAGGAAAGCAAAGCCATCAAGCCAGAAGAGTTTCTGTCCATTTACATAGACTAAATATGTAATTTCCTTTACCCTTCATATATTTTCAAAAAGAAAAGAGTTTCACCATAGGTTAACTGATGCAAACCGAAGTAACAAGGTCAGTATCAGGAGTCGGAATGTGGGCAATCTTGGATATGGAAGCTTTCAATCAATAACAAAGAGCTTAAAATGTCATGAAAGAGTTATCAAAAAAACTTATAAAGTCCACAACATGCTCAAACGGATTTATGAGGGAAGTGGTGACAATCAAGGAGGTCATCAAGGGCATTGGACCATTCTTCCAACTATCATGAGCTTGGAGGACTTAAAAGAAAGCATGGAAGGAAGACTTCAAGGCCACTAATATGCTCAAGAGACTATTTTTTTTATGATTTGGTCATTCAAATTATTTGATTATTTTTGCTAGACTAGTATAAATAGTCTTGAAGTCTTTCAAATTAGGGTTAGCTAGTTTTGGATATTGAGCACTATTTTGTGAGCTAAGATTATGCCTTTTTATCTCATTTTATCATAATTGAAAAAAATAAAAACCTTACATGGTATTTTCTCCATTAGAGGGGCAGCAACCTCCCTAAGAATCCACGAGACAATTAGGGACAAAGAAAAAAGACCACAATAGGCAATCCTTGCAGAACGTCGGCTGATCCCAGACACTACCGTACGGCAAGCATCACAGGCGCACGCCGCACAGCATGACGCAAGACAAGAAGCCGCCCACATCTTCACCAAATTCTAGCTTCTCTTCAACGATTGTCCGATAACAAACCCTGAAAATCCCAAAATTATTCCTTTGTCATTCATTTTTCCCCAAAATTTCAATCGATCAATAAATTAAATGAACTACAATTCATGTAGTAATAATTAATATAGCAACAGGTAAAATTAACCAGGGAGATTATCTTTCTAGTAAACCCTAAGTACAAGAACGAAGAAAAGCGGCAAAGTAACTACTAATCAATATGCGATTTGTGATTAATAGTATGAAAGAGAAAGTTCATCGGACGGTTTACCTAGTTACGCCGGAGAAAGGAGACAACGATGATCGCGATTCGCAAAACGATTAATACGGGAACTTTCTACGCTCTTCTGTACACCAAACAAATACCAAAAGAGAAAAAAGAAAAGAACAAAGACGATGCGTCTTGTTGTGTTGGATGACGAATGTTCTTTGTGGTGGGGTGGGGTGGGGTCGGGTCGGGTGGGGAGGGGGTCCACGCGGGGTAAGTGCACAAATAACCGATTTGCGTACCCGTTTAAAGGCATAACCAAATAAAATGTACTATAAATTTAGCCCCTTTATATTAGACGCGTGAAATTTGGCTTATGAAAGACATAATTTCACCCTTCAGATATTTGGTTTACTAGAATTAAATTGTACACACGTTACTTTTAGGTTCGAACACTTTAAATATTGGCTTGTTTTATTTAAAATTTGATCGATTTATTATCTACTTTTGATTTGTGAATTTAGATATACAAATTTAATCATACAATGAAGAAGAAGAATATAAGGAATTGGAGGAAAGAAGCTTGTAATATAATGAGGTAAATTACGATGCTACTAGTATATATATAACGGAAAAGGGCTGAAAATACCCTTTTTGAATAATCCAAGGTGTTTTTGGCCCTTTTCCGTATATATAATGTCATTTTTACTATATTAATGTAATTACCTAGATTTCAACTTTTAAGACGAAAAACTTATCATAAGTGAGTACTTCTTATATATATATATATATAGCACGAATCTAATTAATTGATCTAATAGGGGGAGGGGGAGGGGGAGGGGGAGGGGGGGGGATATACCGTATTAAACTCATTAAATTTAATTGTGAACTCGCATTTATAGCTATGCTAATTTACTGCATTTACAAATTAAAGGTAACCTATAGTCTATATATAGTACAGTTGTTTATTTATTTGTTAAAAAATATTGTGATTGCACCTATAACGCAACCTATATTTTCATTATTCGTTGGGTCGTTCAATAATCACATTTGATAAGATTGTTAGTTAGGTATCTGCCTTTGACATTTTGCCATGTCATCCCTATTTTTCTCAACGTTTGGTCAATTAGATATTGGCTAGCTAAAATTATGCCTGCAAATATGCATAAATCGCTGTCAACTTCATTTACGTACTAAACATAAAATGATCAGACAAGTTTTTTTATTTGGTTTTCTTATGTTTCTGGTATACCATTATTTTTCTCCAAAAATGGGGAACAACAATAAGTTTATGCTGTTAAAGTTATCCAAGAATATAAATGCGTGTACTTTAATATCTAACATGATTTTGCAACAAGTCACTCTTTACTCTACTAGACAATAATTATAATACCTTCTCAAAGATAAATTAGTTTCTCGGAAACTTGAAGATTTAAATTTATTGATAAATTAAACGGAATTAGTCATGCATGAATATATGTTTACACACGATGCTTGATAGATAGAGTAGTTCTCTACTTGTAATTTTATTTGCTTATAAATAATGCATTTTAAATTGTTGCTTTAGCTTTAAACAAAATAAGTGTTACTTTAAGAATTCAAGATCAAAATTGATAATTATTTTTATTTATATGCTTGACACTAAAGTAGCAATCCCTTTTAACATAGTTTGATTCTGACGTTTTTTTTAAACTTAAAACACATTTTAAATGGAACAAATAGAATATAATGAGAAGCATCAATGCTCATTGAACTCAATATTTATTATAAATCTAGAAGCAGAGGCGAAGTCAGAATTAAGAATTTGGGGTTCTAAATTTCGTTAATAACCGTTAATCAATTTTGTCAGGGTTCACAAATTAATATACATATAATATATAATTAATTTTCTTGTACAAATATAAGGTCTATGAAAAAGCTACTGAATTCGTTCGAACCCATGAACCCCACCTAGCTCCACCTCTGTCTAGAAGGTCTAAGATGGTCAATCAAATAATAAATCTCGAAAAGGCCAATATCTTCTCAAAATTGAAACTAGTAAGAAAGAAAGAAAAATCAAATTAATTTACATTATTTTTAAAACTACAAACATCTTAAATATAACACACATAAATTGAATAAATATTTTATATATTTTTTTATTTTGGAACATAAATAAACTTATTCTTAATAAACTTACGAACAAAAAATACAATAAATATTTTGAGATGGAAAAAATATAATGTACTACTTACTTATACATGGAGCGCACCACGGGAGTCATACAGGATGCTCAAACGAAGATCCGACCCTTGGATCATCCCAAGCGTCAAAATAGAATACAAAATAGTTCAACGACAATTACATTCCCACCTGCACCCAAAAAATCCCTAAACTGATTATTACAATTATAAAGTGCCCCTCTCTCCTAGGCGAAAATAGTATTTTCATCTCTCTCCATCTCATGCTCTTTACATCCAGAAAGTGCGAGTACTCTCCGTGTTGTCGCCGGCACCTCTCCTCTCATTGAGGGAGCTCGACTTTTACATTGCCGGCGATTGACGCGAATTTGCTCCGATCGATTCGACGGCTGCTGTCGTTCATTTCTCTTCTATTGTAAGTATCGTCCTTTTCGTATTTAGATCTCTCGCATCTGTATGTATGTGTTTCTGTTAATCTGCATTGATGTATGTGTCTGCCTGTTTGTATGAGCAGCTGGATTTTTTTTCAGATCTGATGTGCCTTTGTTGTTTTAATTTTCTTTCGTCGGAATGTTTTTTGAGCTCTCCATTAATTTGATTATATGCTTAGTCGTTATTGGCAATTTCGGGAACAATTGATTTTAGGTTTTGAGTTGTTCGATTAACTAGCACCATTATAAGTATAGTCTATTAAATTAAGATCCGTGTGATTATAGTGATTCTGTTGAATTAAGATTATAGGACATACGGAAATCTTTGTCCTGTGTTTGGAGATTAATAAGTGAACTCCTAATGAGACTGTTCGCTGTTGATGAGTAAGGAAGTTATGAAGATGAGATGCCTAGGAGTAATCGCTTCACAGATTGCACAAGCAAAGTGGTAAATTGCATACATATTTGAAGTTTCAGTGAATGATACATTACATACAATGCATTTTAGCTTTAGCTGCAGGTCCTGTGGACTTTCATGTCTCATAAAACGAACTTGTGAAGTTATTGCTGAAGCACATTCCATAAGCAAGTTTGAATTTCTGCGATTGTGTTATCACTCTCAAGCTCAGAGAGAGAAGTTGTTAAAGTTTCTTAAAAGGGAGTGATTGATCCTGTTTAGCCTATATGAACAATTCAAAGGCAGTCTTGCATTGACATCTGCTGTATCTTTGTTTTTGTTTTTATGTGTGCTATTGAATACATTTACAAACTTTCAGCTACTACAGTGTTATTTTATTTTTGGCCAACACATTCTTATATTTTATGTTGATCAGTCTGATGATGTTCCTTCATTTGATGTATTTTGACATTTAATTATCTCTTCCTTCCTTCAGAAGGTAGGTAGTACTTGGAACCACACTTGGTAGAATAGATATTGAACCAAGTAAAAATGTAAAATACTAATGAATCTCATATAGAACATGTTAATGTTAAGAGTGATCAAAAGCTAGTAGAGCAAAATGATCTTTTATCCTGATTTCTGTCTTCTTCCCATTTCTCACTCCATGTACAATAAATTGGCACATGTAAGCAGTTTTGGTGTAAGAATGATGAAAGACATCAGCATGCCTCATTGTCAGCCCTTTTATTTCCCATTTACAATATTTCCACCATCGCCATTTCTGATGTTTCTTACTTTGTCATCAATTATTCATCTGTTTTAGTTATTATATTACAGCATCTGTATTGTCTGCATACGTTGGGGTTGCTTGAGATGAACCCGACCAGGCTAGTTGTATAATTGCATCTACTATGTATGTTGTTTTCACCCTATGCTCGTCCCCCGTTCTTTCTTTTCTTTACCTCATGTTGTTACTTTGGATGAGTGTCAATTGCATATATATTTTTCACTCGTGTCTGCAAGTCGGTGAACACTTCTGCATGAATTATACTTTTGACACTCATGATATTTATTATGTCGAATTGGTAGGTGCAATAATCGTGACCGGCTGCCAAAGATTAACTGTTTAAGGTTATGGCTCTTGACAGCGTAATAACTTCTCCTCATAGGAGGTCACAGACACAAACAGCATTTTCATCTACTGATCCAAAGAAGAATCAATACTCCCGAAGTAATGAGCTTGGGAGCTGTTCAACAGTACTTCAGCGCCACCGGTTCCTTCTAACTGCGCTTGGCCTCCTAGCTTTTCTCTGCACTGTCTATCTTTACTTTGCTGTCACTTTAGGGGCTGGTGACTCCTGTTCTGACTTGACAGGGACTCAAAAAGCAGCATGTTATGTGGAGCGCGGGAAAGCACACATGGGCAAAGGAAAACTTAAGTTCTTTTAGCAAATTGATGGCTGCAGGCTAATATCTTAGTATATGATAATTTCTTTTTCTTCTGAGAGGCAGGAATGCCTATCCAAAGTGTTTACTTAGGTTCTTTGGGTCTATTGGGTGATCATTAGTTTGATTGTATTCTTAAAGATGTATAATTTGGTTATGGGAAACTGTTTGACATCCGTAAATAGGTCTATCTATTGGGATGAACTCAACTGAGGGATGTTGGTGAGGCTCGGGTGACTGTTAAATGGCATATCTTGTGGACAATGTGATTATGAATGTATGGTAAAGATGACATTATTAGGTGCAAATGAAAAAAAATAATAGAAAAAATATCACCTTTTGAGACTTCTTGACATCACTCCATCCTTTGCGTGTGACCGGTGTGGGTTGGGCTTTTATAAATACTTGCAGCGACTTTTTCGTTAGGCCAAAAGTTCTTTGTAATGTAATGTGTTGTGCCTTTTTGTCTTTGTCAGAACGTCATAATCCGCGGTTCACCGACTCTTACATGTGACTAGTGTGTTGTATTTTCTAGGGGAGGTTGGGACTATGAAGTTGACTCTCTTATGATGTTTGCTATAAAAGCCTTTACTCATCCAGGACTTTCTCCTAAGGATATACTGAAAGTCCACAATAATGCATGGAAAGTTTCTCTTGTATGAAAGCCAATTCGAAACAAGCAATAAAAGACTCCTCCTGGACACCTTTGGGACATGCGTTACCTTGAAAAATTCCTTAGCATAAAACTATTTATCTCCACTGGTAATCTATCTTGATGGCTATTCACTAATTCAAGGCCAAGTTAAATTGGGCCAATAACTACCTATCTTTAATAAGTACATGTGAAAGAGCAACTTAACTAATTCATTTCTAATTTTACTTGGCAGGTGTCCCACTTAACATGCAAAATGCACGATACTCGGTATCTATGTAGCCATTTCTTTTATGTCCACTTATAAAAGCTTTTTACACGTGTACCACTTCTGGACAACTTCAAACATATGTATGGTGTTTGAACTTAGTCTTTAACATAATCTAACTACAAACATTGTACATGAAGTTTCATATAGTTGAAGTTCGGATATATGACAGAAATTCAATCTTTTTTGTACTCATGAACTTAGACAGAAATGACCGAATTTTAGTGTAATTAAGTTTTGTCAAGCCTAACTTCAAATACCGTACAAGATGGAAAAAGCCCAATTGAGCCCAACTAAACTTAAAAAGATAAGCCCATCAAGCTTGAGCCCATAAATTGTCAGTTTTCGGGCAACCGTTCCCTGTCCTTTCCATTTATGTAAATCAAACAAGGGATCTTTCTTCTCCACTCTACTAATGGAAGCTGTGATCTGCTACTGATCTCATTTTTCCATTTCCATATACAACTGTACTACTACATAAATTCTTCATCAATATTTGTATACTTTTGTTATAATCCATGGCGGATCCCTTCAAACTCCAACACCGAAAACTTGAATACAAGCGTTTGATTCCGTCATTTCTGTTGTCTCATCGCACTCTTCTTACTGTTCTCTGGATCGTCGGATTTATTCTGATCGTTGTTTGGCAAAGGACTGCAGTGGAACGGCTTCTGATATATCGAGGTATGGCATCACCTACCAGACCTATCCCTAAGCTACGGCCTCTAGTCTTCAATCTCTCCGATTTCGGTGCTGTTGGCGATGGCGTTACGATAAACACAAAGGCATTTGAGAAGGCAATTTCGGAAATTCGGAAGCAAGGTGGTGGCCAGCTCAATGTTGAGCCTGGTCATTGGCTTACTGCGCCGTTTAATCTCACGAGCCACATGACGCTCTTCCTCGCTGAAAATGCAGTTATTCTTGGAATTGATGTAAGTAGTCTATACGTAGTAGATTTTGTTTAGTTCCATAGAAGATGTAGGAAAAGAACTTCAGCTAAACTGTTTGAAAACGTTCCCTTTTTTATTTTGTCAGATGCATTGCGTGTTCAAACTTCAAATTCATCCTTTAATAGTATGATTATTGAAAATTTACTTACTAATTCTAGCAAACAAACAGATCTTTCCGTGGTCTTAGGAGTTATGAATGGCGTGAAAGCTTGCTTAGACACCACGGTCACGAAAAAAGAAAAGAAAATTGTGTAACTCAAGGATAGGGGAACTGTAATAGGAGGAATCTAGTAAATGTTAAGATATAGTATAGGGTTTAAAACAGATCATAATAGTTATTTCCCCTTCAGTATGTGTAATTAGGGAATGACCTACCCTTTCCATTCCTATACTAATTCACAAGCACAAGCTTACTGCCATTCCTGTACCATCTTCTTATTATAGCATAGGGGCATAGTTCTGGCAATTTGTGGCAGGTGAAACTGCATTTGTTTTTTTTCCCAGATACATAATTTTCTCCCGCACATGCATATAAAACAAGCATTTTGTTGGCATACGTTCTTGTTGCTTACTGCCATTCCTATACTAAATGTCTATAATGGTTGTCTGGCAATAGAAACGCAACTGCCATTGCACTTTCGGCAACACTAAGACGTGAGATCTTGTTTCTATTCATGTCTCAAAGTTAATTTGCTTTTGATGAGTTTTGAATTGATTACTTTTAGAAGCTCTTAAGAATGGGTTCATAAATTTCTTTCCTTTGAAAGTAACTTCCAAGTATGTTGCTTTGTCACATCCTAACAACTATTATATCTATCATGATACAACAATATAGGAAAGTGTGCTTGGTTGAGAGTGATACATATGCTGCTGCTAACTTATAGAGGTTTAAATGCATGCACAGGATGAGAGCTATTGGCCACTACTGCCTCCTTTGCCATCATATGGGTATGGAAGAGAACGTCGTGGGCCACGTTATGGAAGTTTAATCCATGGGCAAAATCTTAAGGATGTTGTCATAACAGGTAAAGTAGTAATATCTTATAAAAAAGCAGTAATGTACGAGTGGTATTTTATCATCCCTTCAGTTTTGAATAGGTGCTACCTTTTGTCACTTCTTAGGAATTACAATAAATCACTATATGATTGATTATTTCCCAAATTATCCGTGTGACTGTTAATGCTGGTAAGGAGGACCCACTCCTCTTCATGATTTGTACACATGCTAAGTTATTAAGTTTGTCAAAGGTTTCCAATGTTTCTTGTGTACAAACAGGGTTCAAAAGCTTAAACTAGTAGAACTTCTCCAAAAAAGTATGTACATTCCTCTTTCAGGCATGCTGTTCCACCACATGTTCTTTAGGTCTATCTCTGCTTTTAGCATCTGTTATTGAATTAATTAGTTATATGTCTTGTTTTCCGATACTTGCAAGTTGCCTCTGCACATGTTTTCTCTTATAGCAAGTTATCGACAAATTCCCCAAACGAAGTAGTGAAGTACATATTCAAATGTGATTCTGAAAAGGTGATTGAGAATAGTGCAAACCTCTCTTTGATTGTTTATAAACAATTGTGCAACAGGGCATAATGGTACCATTAATGGACAAGGCCGATCATGGTGGGAGAAATACCGCAAAAAACTTTTGAATCACACAAGGGGGCCACTTCTTCAACTCATGTGGTCAAGAGACATTTACATTTCTGATGTTACATTTCGGGATTCTCCATTCTGGACTCTTCACCCTTACGACTGCCAAAATGTTGTTATAAGAAATGTAACAATTCTGGCTCCATTGACTGAGGCCCCAAACACTGATGGAATAGACCCTGGTGAGTTCTCCTTATTTACTATTCAACCGTACTTGAATTCATTCTTCATGCCTTTCTTGATCACTTTTGTTGCAACTGTAAGTTGGATGTTGGCTTTTTTTTCCCCGCATCATCAATTCTCATTTAAATGCTCACGTTGACCTGCTCTGTAGGCATTCTATAGGAAGTGATGTACAGGAATACTTTCAAATGCTTACATATGCTCTATAAATTGCTTTTTCTTCAAAAAGTTCAGTCGTGTAATATCAAGAATAGTTGTCAAGAGTTCTACAGCAAGTGTATAGGAATACTTTTAATGCTTATAGAAATTGCTCTATAGAAATTGAATTTTCCTCAACAAGTTCACTCATGCAATATCAAGAATAGCGGTAAATAGCATAGATCTGCTCTATAAATCTCATCCACAACTTATTTTCCTAATATAAGTAATGCATTCGGGGAAAGTGTCTCAACATGCCTAGGTCATGATTCATGTGCGTGTACAGCAGATTTTACCCCTCACCTGTTGACTCTCCACACAAATGTTTCATTGACCGCCACCACCACCACAACAATGAAATGGGTTAAGTAATGTGTCATCTCACTCTAGATACAGAATCCTAAGTTTGTAAAGCTTGCATCTTCTTGATGCCTTGAAATGAATCTACTTCATCAAAAAAAGATACAGAATCCTAAGTCTGAAATGGGTCATCATTTTTGGGAAAGAGAGACTTGTGGGGTTGTGAACTGGATCACTTGATATATTTAATACAAAAATATTGAGCGGATGGATCTAATGTTGGCAGATTCATGCGTGGATATGGTGATAGAAGATAGTTATATAAGTGTTGGGGATGATGGAGTCGCAATCAAGAGTGGCTGGGATCAGTATGGAATTGCATATTCCCGTCCGTCTTCCAATATCACTATCCGTAACCTCATAGTGCGCTCAATGATTAGGTAATAATTGTTTCCATATCATACTAAATTACGTCAAGTATATACTTTTTTTTTTTTTCCAATTACATGTTTGTATTACCTCTCTGGATCTGCCCACATAAAAAGATGCATAATCCACATTTCAATAAAATTATCTACAACTTTGTCCTCATTAAGGTTACAACTTCTTCTTAGTTTTCTCAATTTAATTGCTAAAGAGAAGTGTTCGTTTGAGTGTGTGCGTCTTTTTCGGTTTTTAACATCGACTGACTTGCTCATTATCAACAGTGCTGGAGTATCAATTGGAAGTGAAATGTCTGGTGGAGTGTCAAATATAATAGTGGAGAACCTCCTTATATGGAACTCAAAAAGAGGAATAAGAATTAAAACTAGCCCTGGCAGGGGTGGTCATATCCGACATGTTATCTACCGCAACCTGACACTACAGAATGTTCGTGTGGGCATTGTAATTAAGACCGACTACAATGAGCATCCTGATGAAGGCTATGATCCAAATGCTCTTCCCGTTATTGAGGATATAAGCTTTACTGGTATTCGTGGGGAAGGAGTTCGAATTCCAGCACGTATTTATGGGAGCGCTGAGATTCCTGTTCAGAATATTACTTTTCAGGACATGTCTGTAGGAATAACATACAAGAAGAAGCGTATCTTCCAATGTTCTTTTGTTCAAGGACGTGTTATTGGAAAAATCTTCCCTGCTCCATGTGAGAATCTTGATTGGTATGATGATGGAGGAAAACTAATTAGGCAATCAACAAAAAAGAATACAAAGGACTTGGATTACGATGGTTGAGACAAAGGTGCTTTATTCCTTAAATGAAAAATGTTGGTACAACAGCTGATCGGTTGTTGCCAGCGACATTTGATCTTCTTGCAGTCCACAGTCAAATGCTGGGAGACTAGAGCATATATTTGCAGTTGTTACACTAAATTTGCGAGAATGAAAGAATACATGGACAGAGTACCCACCCATGGAGCTTTTAAGAGGCAAACTTTGCCTCAATCTCACCGGGGAGGTTATAGTTTGGTTTTCGAGGCTGCTACCAGTGTACAAAGCTCCAGCGCCTACAGTAATACCCAGGCTGGTTGGGCCCATGCCAAAATTCATCATGGTTTATTGCAAAAGATGAAGGTGGATGTCAATTCTTGGAGAGTGGGGATATGAATGCTCCCCATCTCAAATCATATTTTTTTCTATTTTGTCTGTTTAATCCTCTGGTAAATTTGTTAATGTTGGATTGTGGAAAACATAGTATAGGTAGTCTTTGTATGTATATGAACTTCAGTTCCATAAAAATATGAGAGAACATAGTATAGGTGTAATATTTTACTTTGTACTAATGGAAAATATTCTGCATCTCATATTTTAGTTCGGTTGGGTGGTTATTTCATGTGTTTCCCATAGGCATTGAATTCTCCATACCGACATGTCATGACCCGACCCGACCCGACACTTTGTCTTAGTAAGTTGTCAGTCTAAGTCTACCTTATATGCTGATTTATTCATAGCACACTTTAATTTTATCAAACAATTTAGCAGCAGTTGTGATATGAAATAGGAGGACGATTTTTAATTAAATTGAATTGATACATCAGCTCTTATCATATGCATGCATCCTCCAAAAGAAAAACAGAGGACCTCAACAATCATAATAATATCAAATAACGGTTATATCTTAGACTATTTTTAGTTCTTTAAGCCATGCAGTATGTAATGGGCATGGATCTGGTTTCCCTTGTGCGATTGCCTTCTCAGAGAGTGAATAGAACCATCCGTTTCTCCATTTGAACTATACAAGGGATTAAACGAATGGGATGGTTAGAGCACAGGATTCAAAATGTAATGTCAATTATGAAATCTAAATTTCTTACCTCCTTGACAGCCGTTGGAAAGTGTGCAACTGCTCGTGAGTAAGCGCAGAGCCTATCCTCCATGGCATCCTCAAAAACTAGACTTTTCTCTGCAGCTGCTGCAGCCGCAAGCTCAGCAATCAGTTTTGACACCTGAAAGCAGCAAGCCTAGTTAATAACGTCCTGGCATCTACATTATCATCTGAACTAGCTGCAAACATTTAGGAAGCAAGTGAAGCATCCAACTTTCAGTTCCTCCTATTAATATGTAATAGTATCCTTGAGTACGACCAAAAGCCACGTTAATTTAGGGGGAAAAAGAAGAGGAAAGCAAAGAAATGAGTGATTCTGACACCCCGCCCAGATTAGGTAGCATTTTGCCTTTTCGCGTGGACAAGGGTGAGTCAATTTGGTAAAACTGGAACAAGAACTTTCACGAGTGCATTTAGCCCCCATCATCTACCATATATAGTTGGTCTAAACAGTGACACAACATCAATTAGAAGGTCCAAGAATTACTGTTTATAATCCTATGAAGGAAAATAAGCTGAAAAGTGAATTAAAGTATCAGTAGTTCTTGACCCATTCTACTACTTCATAAAAGGAGTCTCTACTTAGGCTATAGCAACAAAAGCAATATAAATCAGTGCGTGTTCTCTGCTCTCTCACTTGAAACAAGGTAGCTTCTTTTGATCTTTTTTTTTTTTTTTTTTTTTTTTAAAACTAACAGTAGTCTCATTGGAGTTATGGTGTGAGGGTTATTGATTCTAACCTTTCAAAAGGCAATTAAAAGTGGATACTTTTCAAAGGGTTTCATCGATGGATCACTCACCTCAGAGCGGTACTCTTTTTCAACAGCTCCTACTGTTGCTCCAGGATGGCGAGCTCCAACAAGCATGAAAGCACATATCCATATAAGCTTCTCCAGCATTTGCTTCTGAAAAGGCTCCTTATCAAGTACCTGGTATTCACAAAAAGCAAAATGCATTATAGATCTTAGTAGCAGTCTATTGCAAGCTACTATAAGGCGCAGTGCTGAAAGATGAATAATGGACTTCCTGGGCCTCCTAAACTTGTACGAGAAAAATTGAGAAAGATATCCCATCTCTGAAGATTACAGTTGGTAAGGTAACAGTCAATTGAAATGATTTTACCTCACCTTTCAATTTGAATTGGCAAAACTGTGTCTCCTTTTGGGTCACACAATTTATCCTTTATCTTTATGAAAATTAAAATACAAGGAAAGAGGTATACTATCAGTAGTATTTCGTATAGAACTGTTGAATAAGAAGCCTCCAATGGAGGAAACGAGTCTAGTTCATTAAGGAGGAAACGAACATTGAGGCTAATGTTAGACATGTATGTTGAAGTCTTCAAAATATAGCACACTAAACTTAGACAAGACATCCCTATTTATGATAAACATGAACTCAAACATAATCTTCTAGCCAACCTTCAAAAGCTCAAACCGAAGCTTTTCACTGCATGGTTTTTAATATCATAACGAGCAAATAATACCATGTGAAGTTCATTCTTTACCTTGCAAGAGAGTCCTCCATTCTGCAATCTTGCAGCCACTGCAGATGCCCATTTCCCATAAGCCGCAGTCAATCCTTCTGGATTTGTATCAGTTTTCCCATCAGTTGGTGGTTCACCAAGCTTTGATACAGCAAAATATGCCAAAACTTGGTCTGCATCACCAAGGCCTTTACTTTGGAACCAAGGCTCTAGCATCCCATTCTGGAAAAATACCAAATCTGCTACATCAAGATTTATTACAGGGTCACATCATCCATTAAGACATAAGTATGCTCAAACTACACTCTAGGGGAAACAAAACTAACAGGAACTAATGCATTCTCTATTCATGCAAAAAAAAAAAGGAAACAATACTGTCTATACATGAGAAAACAGTAGTGACACATGACTGCTAAAATTTCAAACTGGAATGTCATTTCATATACAATCTTAACAGTAGACTGCAAATATTCTTTGCCGTTTGTTTCTTCCTAAAGACCAAATTCAAGTCCAACGTCTGACGGCAGAAAATTTCTGTTGTTTTAAACATGCCCATAACATTTGTATGACTACTACCTTGATTTGGTTTGCCATTTACCTAAAGCATATAATTGACTATTCAAATCTGCACATTATCCCTTTCGTATAATATATCAGGTGGATACACGGTTGCTAAACTTGACATGACATTACAGCTCTTATATACTCAGTGATAAGTTAGAGCCAAACCCACCCACTATTTTACTAAGGCCAGAAAGAATACCCACCAATTTCAGACTTTTGAATCTTGTGGTCTTTAAGTATGCAATAATTTAGAAAAAGATCATTTTTTTTAACACTAAGAAGTAAATAACACAGTGTAATTGATGGGAATTCCAGCATACCGCTCCAACGAGATTTAGGAGTAGCTTCAAGTACAGCTTCAAGATCATCATTCCTAGTGCAAACCAATATTGGACCTACAAAATCAATAGGTACTGGTTCACCCCTTTTAACCAAAACATCGTCTCCTTTACCTAAATCTTGTAAAGCTCTTCCCACACGTCCACCTCCAACTATGATAGCAGGAGCAACCATGTTGTCTGAGGTGGAAATTGATGCTCTAATTTTGAAATTCTGGTTGATTCTTGAAATGGGTTTGTGCCAAAATGTTGAGCTCCCACTAGAGAGAGTGACAGTGTTCATCATTGCTGCTGCTGCCTTCATGGTGGGCAATATCTGGGGCCATGGTTTCTTGTGATACTTACTATTAATGGGTAGCCACTCGTTTTCACTTATGATCCACAAAAAATTATCGCTTTATCAGTGGCAGTGGCAGTGGCCTAGGTCGTAGAAATTGGGATCCGGTTTGATGAAAATTCTAATCGGGTCGCTGGTTGTTGGGCTTGGTAGTGAGCTTTAAGGCCCAAATCAACTGTAAAGTTTGGACTCGTATAAAGTTGTATCCCATTTTGAGATCAACTATTTAAGTCATATTTATACCGCCTAAAAAAATTATAAATTTATCTAGTTCGAAACAATTTCAGATATGTAAAGTCAGATGGAACATATAAAGTTAAACTATTTATCATGAACTTATTTGTCAAAAAATCAACCATTCTTGTTTGAATTTTACGAAAAAATGCTTCAACTTTAATCATATAAAACTTAAGATATTTTATTTGAACTTCAAAAACTTTATAGATAAAGTTATTACGAAGTAGGTAGATATGCAAAAAAAAAGTTAAAAGCTGGATACATGTTAAATTACTTTCATTGTTTCAATTTATATGACCCGAATTTGATTAGAAAAGTAGTTTAAGAAAAAAAGAAATTTTAAAAACTTGTGATCTTAAATACTCATTTGTGTGGTTATCATAAAATGACATAATATTTGATTATTTGTGTTGTTATAAAAAGTTTGCTCAAAGTTAAAATTCTTTCTCAGTTTAAAAAGTATATTATTTTTTCCAAAAAAATAGATTACTAAAAAAATTATATCATTCTTTTTTAAACGGTTTGAAATTATTGCACTTTTAATCTTTGATACAAATTCCTTGATTTTTATCTATAAATTCATTAAATTACCTTTACCAAAAGGTCTAAAAATAGTAGGAAGGGAATATAATTGCTATATTTACAACATCTGCAAGCAGAGTTTATTTGCTTCATAAATTTTGTTTCAGACAAACCGTACGGCAGTAGTATATTCAAATCTACTTCGCGGCACTGTCCAAATCATCAGCCGACAAAACTCCGGCGACGGGCCCCACAATCCCGCCGTCGATTATGGAAAAGACACATGCCATATATTGACAGAGACATGACCCAATCAAGTTCCTTATTTTACCGTTGAAGAATTTTAATCTTAAATATAACCCAATTCCAAACATTTTGAAAGCCCCAAAAAAATTTCAAATTCAAATTTCTGTTTGTTACCATCAATGGCCTTATGGGCTGCAAACACAAGATAAAGCATATCTAACCACTACCCTGCCCTTACTTTAAAGCAAAAATAAAGTGCCCCAACAAACAAGAAATCAAGAATCCTATTTATATAACCTGTTGTTCTGTTCTTTTACCCAAATTGGGTGTTAAAAAAATGTCTGGTTTCAAGAAAACTACAAACCCTCTTCGTTCTTCGAGTTCATATAATTCCCTTTATGATAATCCTTTAAATGAGCTCGGACAAAACCGGAGTAGTAGCAATGGCAGCAGTACGGTTGGAGAAGCATTGGGTGTTCATTTGCTTCAGAACCAACTTGTTATATCTGATAATAAAGAGAATGCTGCACCAGATAAAGCTGAAAAATCCAATCTTTGTGATAAAGAAAATGTTTTACGGTATGATTGGACTAGTAAGGTTGTGAATAATGAGTTTACATCAGCTCCGAGGGTTGGGGCTGATGTGAAAGACTCTGTGCTGAGGCCATCTTCGCTTCAGCTATGTATACAAAAACATGAACCAGATTCTAAAATTGGGTTGAAAATTTGGGAGCATGCGGATACTGAGACGCCGAATTCTGCTAATATTTGGGATTATTCGGATTCTGAAGCTGCTCCAGCTTCTTCTTGGTCTACACTTCCTAATAGGTCTGTATTTGTCTTTGATTTAGAGATAAAAATCAGTTCTTTGCTTATGATTATTGATGATAGTATTTTTATTTTTTTTGCAGGTCATTGTTGTATAGGCCTTTGCCTATAGACATTGGAAGATGTACTTGTGTGATAGTGAAAGAAGCATCTCCAGAAAGCAGGGATGGAGGGAGTTTTTACTCACTGTATACAAATGTAAGGCTTCTTTCACTACTTCCTTTAAGCTTGTTGAAAACCAGCAGCAATAAGCATTTTCTGCTGTTCAATGCTTTGGTTGTAGTAAGAGGCGAAGCCAAAGATTTGAACTTTATGGGTTCTGAACTCTAGGATAGCAATATCAGGATTAGTAACTGAGTGCTGATTTCTTAATACAAATAGAGGGTTTGAACTAAAACTAATGGGTTCAGCTGAACCTGTACATCGGCTTCTAGCTCCCCCTGGTCATACTTCTTTGTTCATGATAAACTCGTAATGATGAAGAGGGAGTTCCTTTAGTTTAAAAGGCAAGATAGAAAGAAAATTAATGAGAGACACTTTTCACTACCATTTACCTAGAAGAAGACAATTAGTGACCAGAGAAATATGAATATTATGAAACAACATAGATGTTTCTATCATCATACTGTAAAATTTCTATAAAAGATTTACTTATGAACTATAGTATAAATCAGCACCAAATTATGTATGACATTGCAAATAGGCGTGTGATTTCAAATATAGCTTCCGAATTCCATCAAGGTATCTAGTCATTTGTCACAGAATTGATGATGTTAACTGAGAGATTCCTAAGAATACAGAAGTCACTTGGTACTAAATTGATGATACACTGCTCCTTGCATCCCTGAGCATCAGGCAAAAGTTGAGCTTTCTACAAGTCATTTGAAGCAAGGAACTCTTTGCTTATAGCGTCCCATGCATTGTGATTGACTTGAAAATTCTTATTTGTGCATGGCTATGAATACTTTGAGAATAAAGTGTCTATTATGATAATGTTGTTGTTGTTGTGTCATTGGAAGGACAATCGCGCACACACACATGCATGAACATGACTATGATATTACTAAGATGTTGTTGTATTATTGAATCTTGATATTCCCCTTGTCTAATGTGCTAATTCTAGATGTTTGGGATGAGTTGATTCATAGCCCTTGAAGGGCAAATTGTGTATGAACTCATGATTCACTTAGAAAGTGAAGATCCTATGACTATTGTGTAATTGTGATAGTTGTTGAAAGGTCATTCTCCCCTTACCCTTACACATGACTATGCATGAATTGTCTAGGACTATGATAAGGTTGTTGTGTTGATTGAAAGGCTATTCTCATTAACACTATGAACATGATGTGTAAGGTTTACTCATATATTAAGGATTCTAAGGTTGAAAGGCTATTCTCACCTAATGAATCTATGAGCTATATCATGATGTTGTATTGGATTGAGTGTTGAGTCACCCTTCCATAAACATGAACTTAAGTAAAGACTTAACATGAACTTAAAGGGAATTATGCTTAGCACCGAGCGGATATGAAAATAAGATGGGGAAGCTTTTACGCCAGTTAGTCCAGGTTCCCAAAACATGTTATCTCATGAGATGGAAACCTTCTATGTCAGTGAGTCCGAGTTTCTAGTAGCAATCTCCTTATCCCATAACTATGTGCCCACATAGGTTCTTAGCTAGTGGATCCATCTATAAGCTAAACATGTTAGTTCTACCTTAGGCAAGTAGAACACCTCTTTTCGGTGTGGGTTTATGACACCAGATTCCATGTAGCTCGCATGGTCTATGTCGGTTAAGGCTACTTCCCTACATGACAAGTAACATGAACCATGACATGAACAAGAACAAGAACATGGGGTATTTACTATGGTTCCTTAAGAGGTTCTACTTAGTGTGAATGGGGAATGGGACTTCATTCATACATTGCACAAGTAGGCTTTGAGAGTGGGCATAGTAGGTTTCCCTCATGACATGATGATTATGAGTTAATGTATGCTTTATTATGAATTATGAACATGAACATGAATATGAACATGGACTATACTTGTGACTTCTTAATGAGCTTTACTTAGTGTGAGTGGGGATATGGGACTTCACTTATACATTGCACAAGTAGACTCATGAAGGGGATATAGTGTGGTTTCCTTATGCTATGAAGATATATGAACTTATGTATGCATGATATGGATTGTGGCTATGAGTGACTTTACTTATTACAAGATATGAACATGTAAGGTCTCCTTGTCTATGAGTGTTGACTATGGATTAGGTCAAGGTATGTTATGCATGATCATGGTGGCCTAGAAGTGATACTTAGTGTAGATAGGATTATGGGATCCTAGCTATGCATTGCACAAGTAGAGCTTAAGGTTGCTTATGTGATAGTTCTATTATGATGAGATGATCTTGGTATGTGACTATGTGCGAACTTACATCTTTTTAGGTACTACTTATTTGACAATGTTTTTTCTTATCATCTTCTTGAAAATTCTTATAATGCCAAAAGCTGGTTGTAATTCATTTGTTCCAACATTTGTGATTTGTACTGCTTCTTTATGGAGTCATCAAACAATTGTTTGTTAACTCTCATGGACAATACAGTATACACCTAAGGAACCAACTCCAACAATATTCAGTTAATCTTATCCTTGTTTTGATCAAAGAGGAGCTAAGGTGTTCATTTCACCCGCCATTAGTACTCTTATCTCCAAATTTCACGAGGAATTTTATCATTTGATAGGATTCATGGTTGAGAGCTATGCTATGGCAGAAACATTGACTGACACATGTACTGATATCTATTTTTGTGTCTTATTTAAACTGAAGGAGGGGCAGGGGCGTCAGAATCGGAAACTTGCCATAGCCCATCACAGAAGGCGTAATGGGAAATCTGAGTTTGTAGTTGCTCAAAATACAAAGGGAATATGGGGAAAATCTGATGACAGTTTGATTGGACATGTAACAGCTAATCTTCTGGGATCAAAATACCAGATATGGGATCAGGTAAATTTTCTTTTGACACTATGAGATAAGACACACATATGGTTAAATGCCATCCTTCCTGTGAGGTGTGCTAGTCTAACTAACTCCTGCTTCTGCATAACCGATTTATTTCAGGCCCGTCCTAATTCCACAACCAAACAATCAAAATTGTTGGGCGCTGTAACGTAAGCTTTGTCTCTCTGATTCTCATCCGAAAGATGGCTCTTAGACCATTGTAATAAAAGTATATTGTCTACAGGTTCATGCCTACCATCGCGACCTGGACTGGAAGCTACAGAAGGATAAAAGCATGCATACCAAAACACCAGTCCATGCAGTTAAAATGTACAGCTCAGGTGAGCACTGTTGCCAAAACTATAACAGTGCACTTAAAAAATTCGTTAGTATGTTCACAGTGAACTAAGTTTTCTGCTCTGGATATAGCAGCACATCAATGGACTACCCGCGGACTGGGAGGAGCATATGGACAAAGTAAATCAGTTGTTTTCGAAAATTCCTCATTACAATAAGGTATAAATATTTGTTTTGAATAACCGTTTGAGTTTGTTTTTGAATATTCCTCACATCTAATATGCAATTATTTGGTACATGTAGGTCTCAAGACAGTATGAGTTAGATTTTAGAGATAGAGGAAGGGCAGGACTCCGAATCCAGAGCTCAGTTAAGAATTTTCAGCTGACTATGGAGGTATGTACATTAACCGTCATCCTGTAACAACATTTTCACTACTACAACAACCAAAATTTATCCAGACAAATGAACCTATTAGGCTTGATCCTATTCGATCGTCCTGTATTCATGCTTGTTATTATTTGTTAATAGAAAAATGGAAGGCAAACAATTCTACAACTTGGTAGAGTGGGGAAAGCTAAGTATGTGATGGACTACAGGTATAACATATATATCCTGGTTTTTAGTACTAATTCAAGCAGAATTGTTTAGATAATTTGACAGCTAGAAATATATTTATCCCAATGAGCAGAGCAATTCGATCAAGTAACATTAATAACTTGAATTTTCGTGTTGAAAACAGGTACCCGTTGACAGGTTATCAAGCGTTTTGCATATGTTTGGCTTCTATTGATTCAAAGTTGTGTTGCACACTGTAAACGGGGAATCTCCAGCGCCTTAATTTTGTTGTTCAACCTCTGAACAGCAAAGTCACTTATCTGACTTAAGTGCAATTTTGCAGTTTTTTCGCCAAGGCATCACGCGTATTTTGTCCTTGTTGTTGTAATTTATTCATGCAACTTGGTGGAAGATTTTGTACAAGCAATTTAGACATGTTCTGGTTAATGAAAATACAGCATTGTGCACTATGATTGTTTGTCTTGAAATGAAAGAAACCAGAAAAACCCCACACACAAAAAAAAATTTGGAAAACGTGGGCATGTGAGCCTTGTGTTTGACTTTTAAAATAGTGTGTTTTAGCAAACGAGGGAAATTGGACCGTGTCACCCACCCACGTGGATCAACTCGACCTATTAGGATCTGTCAAAAAGAAAAACAGAATAAACTTCTTATTTTCTATGAATATTTGAAACGATTATCTCGTACGATCTTAGATCGTGTATTTGTAACAGGTATGACCTTAAACTATGACTATTTCAAAATTGTTTGTGTTTCATAAACATGTGGTTTCACCATTCGACTAGTAAAATGAATTCAATGATTCTGCCAACTGCAGAGAAATTATCTATTTTTACCATAGAGTAGTCTTTTATATATATAACTCAGAGTCAACTTGCGCACATGAAAAAACTATTCAAATAACAATGTCTAACTGAATCCCACATTTCGGAGTTAATATCTCAAAAGGTCACTCAATTTTGAGAATTTATCTAGCAAAGTCATTGAACTTTGTTTTGTATCAATAAAATCACTCAACTTACACTTTTGTATCAAAAAAATCATTCAACTTAAACTTTTGTATAAATAAAATCACTTAACTAAATTTATCATTGAATTTTTTTTTGATATCACAAAATAGTTTTTTTTATGCCAAGTATACATTAATGGAGTTTAATTCTTATGCATTTAATTAAGCAACAAATAAAGGTCTCCTGGGTTGGATATATATCACGGGTAAAGTGTTGATTTAGTGTGGTAATCCTATTAAATTAAGCGAATACATTAATAATTATGGCTGTCACGTCTCATTTGCAGTGGAAATTTTGTAATTAAACTTCATTAATAAATGTATACATAGCATAAAAAATAACTACGAAAAGGAAAAAAAAATCCTGTGTAAAGCGCTAACTAATTTGTTTATCAAACTTCTCAACATTCACTGCTAGGTTAGGTTTAAAACTTTAAATTATAACCAATAAATAAGGGCTCCTGGGTGGGATACATCACGGGTAAAATATTGGTTTAGTGTGTTAATCCTATTAAATTAATAATTAAGGCTAAATTTAGTTAAATGATTTTATTGATACAAATGTTGAAGTTGAGTGATTTTATTGATACAAAATAAAGTTTAATGACTTTATTAGATAAATTTTCAAAGTTGAGTGACCTTTTAAAATATTAACTCCACATTTCGAATGATACAAAAACTAATAATTAAAAGCAAGATAAACCCCTGCGACATAACATACAGCAATATATTGATAAAGGTAAGTAACAGTCTTTGTATTACTCTATTATTGTAGAACTCATAACATACCAAAGAATGTTTATCAATTTCTCTATCTACATAAACAAATACAATATTGAGAAAAAAATAATAATAATATTAATAGTCATTAAATAAATACTTAAAAAATATAATATAACCCTCATTCTCTAGAAAGATAAAATCATTTTAAAGGAAATTATCTGTTTCCATTTTCCTTTTTTGTTTTTGTTGCCTCCCCAAATTATACTCTCTCCTTAACTTAAAAATAGTAATATACACAAATAATTTTTATATCTCACCTCCATAGTTATTAATTAATTAATAAACTCACACTGAAACATTGGCAATGTTAAAGAATCCAAGTCACCAAAAATAATATCATGCTCCTCAATGAAGCTACTTGATTCTTGGCAATCAAAATAGGTTTGTATATCATCAGGGAAGCTCCTCCGTGGTCGGTCTGGCTCCGGTGGAGTTTCCGGGCATTCAATTACCTCCGATGTTCTTTCGAGCATTTCCTTGAACTTTGTAGACTGCATCAAAAGTTCTAGTGCTGCTGATGAAGTCGCGGCTCCGCCACCTGGATGTGGCAGAGCCGCGACAGTTACATCGCAGCCTGAGCTTTGTTGTTGGTTTAAATTTGTTGGCATGAGATGAATGTCAATAGGGTTAGGGTTTGGTTCAGGGTTATTAATGGTATTTTCATTTGTTTGGTCAGAGGGACGTAGCCATTTAATGTAACGGCTAAGGTCAAAATTTGTAACGGCGTTTAGTCCACGGTATTCAATAGCTGCCATATCATATGCTGTTGCTGCTTCCTCTTGAGTAGCTGCATGTGATTGGTACAAAAAATTATATATATATAAATAAAAACACCGCTATATATCTAATTTTGTAAGATAGTCAAGCTTATATGTACGATAATCTAGTTTTTTACTTATGCGTAAAAAAATAAAATTTTAATTTTAAATCGTATATTTTCGATGAACAGGATTTAGATGAACCTCTTTACGCATAGCTGTGACCCAACATGTGATTTTATCTTGAATACTTTCTCTATTCCAATATATGTGACATTGTTTGACTGGACACAGAGTTAAAGAAATTAGGTAATTAAGTATTTGTTATGTTTATCAAATTATTTTTATTAAAGTCACTTTAATGCTTATTTTTAGTTGACTTTGTTTCACATAAAATGTAAGACGGTATCTAATAAGAATAAACTTTTGGATGGTGTCATTAAATAGTTACCAAATAAGAAAAGACGACATTCATTTTTAGACGAACTAAAAACAGAAGAATGTTACCTTAATTAGGATAGGTAAAATGGAAAAAATTAAGAGATGTTGAGGGGTATTGTGGGAAATGAGTGGATTATAATATATGTAATAAATTGAAGAAACTAATTTGCATGACAAATTGGGTGAGCAGTTGAAAAATGAAGAGATGGGGCAGGGTTGTGAAATCTTAAATAGCAGACCTAGCAGTTGAAAGTTGGTGATCTATATATACCCAACCACCAACTAATATTTAATTTTCCCTCCTTCCTAATCTAACTTTTGGCTTTTTGCCTCACTTATTTGACTTGTTTTTCTGCTTCCATGATTTTCATGGCTATAGTAATGCTAAATAGGCACTCAATGTGCAACTAAACTCAACAATATTAATATCGACAAAGAAGTGCTTGCTCTACACTACACATAGTGACATGTGGCAACAATCAACTACATGTCAAACAATCATCCTCACTCTCTCCGTTTTAATTTATTTGACTTATTTTAATTTGACACACAATTTTAAAAATACGTCACGTGGATAATTGGAACTAAAGATTTGTTAAAAAGGGAAAACGGTCATTCTTATTGAGACGGGAAGGGAGTATTTCTTAAGTGCATTTAAGAATAAATATGACGACACTTGGATTGATTTAGGGGCAATGCTTTTGAAAATGATGTTTTTTTGTGAGGTTCTTTTAGGTAAGCGACCAAAATATACTACACTAATTGTGGAGAATTAATCTCAACTTGTCAAACTTAATTAAACTTTGTCTACCTTTCCTATCCAAAACATCAAATTTAGGATGAAAGACTAATTAATTAATTTTCTAATTTTGTTACTTTTTTAATTTTCCCACCAAATTAATTATGAAGAAGGGGTTGGATGAATATTGTATACTACAAATTTTCAACTAAAAAGACGTGTTAGTAACTAGTAAGAGTAATCTCATACGTACCATATGTTCCAAGGTAGAGATATTTATTGCCAAATACCCTTCCAATTCGAGCCTCCCATCTTCCATTGTGATGGTGTCTACAAATCCAAAGTAAATAATGACAAGTTTAGATTCTAGCCGAAACAAAAATATTAGTAGGTGATTTCTTCTGATCTGCCTGAGTGTAGGGTGGAGTGAAAGTGTTCATGTTAGTAACTTTGATTAATGTACATATTATTAGTTTAGAACTCAATGACTTAAAAAGATTAAAATTTAAGAATCATATACTTCAAATCCTAACTCTACCTCTATGTTGTGCAAAGTTACGTAAAAACATGTTGATAAAATTAATAAACAAATACTAGATAAAATTGTACGTATAAATGCAAAACAAGTTAATTTAGACACCACCGTTACGTTAGATATAAATCTTGAAGAGCCGTACAAGTGCATGAATGGAAGAAACGTGAAGCATTTAATAAGAGGAGTTCAATGTCAATATCAAGAATATACGACATAGTTAGATGGCATAGTAGCATGAAGGATGGGAATAGATGAAGACTCATAAACACTTCACAGTTGAGCAGCAATGATGGGCATCTTACTACAACTTATAACATTTACAAGCTTCATTTATAAATACTTTTTTCGGTTCTCTTGTACTTGTTTATTACTTTTAAAATATTTTTTAATCGTGCAAAATTTAAAAAGAATAAGTAAAAATGTACAAATTGCTATTCAATGCATGCCAAATATAACCTTTTTTTGAGGGGGGGGAGGGAACCAAGGGTTTATTTGGGCTAGTTGTCGCTTTAATGAAGAGCAACACTTTTAGATCACCAACATTTTTGCGGCAAGTCTTAAGGTCAAACATTTCTCAAGGATACTCTTAGCTCATTTTTTAATGGTGTGCTATGAAAATGAAGAGTTAAATAATTACCTTGCTACGCCTCTATATTTTGATACTCCCCTTGAAAACCCACTACTTTTTCTGCAAACATATCACAAAAATAATATTAAAATACATTAATTAACTAAGTAAAAAAATGAAAATGAAAATAAACCATACATGTACCTTCTCAAAGAACCAATATACTCTTCTTTTGATTGACCTTCCATTTCCTTTAGCTCATTTTCATACGTAGCTACCTATATTAGCGAATTCAAAATTTAAAATTTATAAATATTTAAAATGATCTCAAATTAATATATAATGATAAATAAGTTCGTCAAAATTACAGGGAAATTAAGGACGGTGTCTTGACCCCAATACTTTAACGCCGCTAAGTCATATGCATGTGCAGCTGCTTCTTCATCATCATAGGCTCCTGAAAAAAAAAAATCTCAGTTCTATGGATAAAATTTCATTTTACAAATGGCAACATTATGTTTGTTAATAAATTGGTGGGCCAAATAATTGAAAATGAAAAGTTTATAATAATATTGAAAAAAATAAAAAATTAGAATGATAAAGATAGAAACTTACCCAAATAAACTGCATTTTAATCGGATTTTGTTATAAGCATGATTTGCGCCGGCGAAACCAATAGAAAATTTCAATTAGTAATGTAGTTCAACAACATCATATCTAATATTAACTGAAATACATCACTAAACAAAAAATTAATTTTTTTAAAAAAATTATGAACCTTGTCTTCCTTTTTTGTTCTGTGTTTCATTCCAGCAATTTTTATCCCATAGATGAGCTTCGTATCGGCCAGTCCATCGGTGCCTATCAATTATTACTCTGAAATTAACTAACTCTCCATTAAAGAAGAAGGAAAAAATAATTGTAGTGAAAGAAAAAATACCGAGTAACTCCTCTGTAAATTGAGCTACGTTGAGGAGGAGAGTCTCTAGGAACGCTCTTTCGCGTTCGTTTCACTTTACCAATAGCATTGCTATCAATTTTGTTGCTACGTTTCGCTTTACTATCACATTTGTTGCTAGAAGAAGATGAAGTTGCAGTAGTATTTGATTTTGATGTTTTCGCCATCAAATTAAAATGGGAAGAAAATAATAGTAGTGTAAATTAGAAATTTTCCTTTCTCCAATAAGAAAGGAGATATATATACGAAATAAGGAAGATGACGAAAAGCCGGCGGAGGAAATGGTGATGGCCGTTTCTGTTTATAAGCAGTGGCAGCAGGCCCTGGCGCTGGCCCTCTTTTGTGTGTTAGCTACTTTGTGCTTGTCTTCACTTTTTTTTTCTCTCTCTCTGTTTTATTTGTTGTTTCGCTCTAATCTATTTTTGTGTGTATGTATATATATTCTTTAGATTAGATTTGGCCTTTCCGTTTTTTCTGCCTTGATTTATATAATATGCTTTTACTCAATCAGATTTAATTCTTTTTTTTTTCTTTTTTTCATACCCCTCTTTAATTTTAGGTTTAAAATTAGGTGCAGTATTTTTAGTTCTACCAAATTTATACCGTTTTCAAGGGTGTGTATGATTTCTCGATTTAGTTTTATATTATTCGATTTTGAAAAGAATTTATTTATCTATTTTAGTTTGATTTGATTTTTCTCTTTTTTTGCTTTGATTTGTTATCTTAGAATAGTTATATTTGAATGTTGAAAAAGGATAACTATATAAAAAAAGAGCAGTGATTACATCAAATCTCTTAAATATTTTTTAAGAAATTGAAATCATATTATTGAAATAGTGCACACCACTAAAAAGATAGCAATATATATTTGATGAAATAGTCAAATACTCTTAATCTATGTTGAAGCAGGATAGAATAAGTCAATAAGATTGCATTTACATGCCTAATGTTATAACTAAAATAAAATGTGGGTATTATTTAATGTTAATTGATTTCTTTATCGAAGAATGAATGTGTTATAAAAACGTAATGTATAATAAATGATTTGTTATTGTTTTCTATTTTTATGTTTTGAAATTTGAATCAAATAAAAAAAATTATGAATCTTAAATACGAAACCAAGTCAAATAACAACAAATGATTTGATTCAGTTTGATTTCTTGATTTAATCCAAAAAAAAATAAAATACACAACTCTAGCGATTAGATTCAAATCTGTAATACTGCAACTCCAATAATTAAAATATTGGACATTGTTTCTTTTTTGATTAAAAAATTGATAATTGTCCATGCTCATTTTTATTATTTATTTTTTATTTTAAAATTGCCCATGATGTATACACTCAATCATGGATTTGCAAGGGTGTTGTCATTTTTTATCTCTTTGCATCATTTTAAATCCATTTCACTTTTCATTTTTAAGTTATGAATTATTTTTTGAAGATGAATAGACGTTAAAAAATCTTATCATGATTTTTGAAGTTGAATGGATATTAAAGAATTAATTATAAGGGTAATATACGAAAAAATTAATTAACGCTTTCTTAATTTTGTAAGGTGGACAATTAATATGAAACAACTATTTTTAGTAAGACAATCAATTACTATGGGACGGAGAAAGTATGCTTTTTGAAATTAAATTTAGTTCAAAATCGATTTCTTATTACTGCACGAACATCCCATATCTCACACTTAATTTTTTAAAAACTCGTTTCATCTTTTCGAGAAAAATTAAATGATGACTTTAGGAATAGTATATTTGGAATAGTATAAACACAAATCAAATTACTACACAATGATAACAATACCAATTGAATTTATACATGTATATTTTATTTATTATTTTTAAGGATAACTGAAAGTCCGAATAAGTAAAAGTGAACGACGAGGGAAAAAAAAAAAGTAAAGTCGAAAGTAAAATTATCATGTTGAAGCAAAATGCAAGAATCATGAAAATATAAGGACTAAATTTGAAATAACAAAAAAAAATAGCGAATATTATTAAGATCCATTAATCAGAGTTAGTTGTAGAGTTTGCGGATGTAAGTAAAGTAGGAGCACCTACTTAACTAGCCACTCTCTATTAATTCCGTATAACCCCTGAAATCATTAAATTTATACATTAATTAATTGCTTAATAAATCTATAATTAACCAAGATTTGTGGGACCATTTTGTTTTCTGCTTATTGTAGGTTTGATATATTATGTACCAGCTTTATCCTGAGCTAAGCAAGGCAATAAAGTCAAACTTAATAAATTTTACATATCTATGGAGTATATTTTAATTTAGGGTGAATTTTGAAAAAGTAAAAAAAATAAGATCTTATAATTTTAAATTAAAAATATGTTAAATGTGTCAAAATGCTCTATAATTCGTAGATCTTAAGCATGTTAGGTAGAGAGTTGGGTTTACAGAGTTGTCGAAAAAGGAAAAGGAACATTATTTTTTAAACAAACTAAAAAGAAAAGTAAGTCAAATAAATTGAAACAAAGGGAATAACACTTCACAGTAGTGATTATGATATTACAATTTTCAGAGAAAAGAAAAGGCGGAATAAATTGATTACTCATGAAATTTTCTAGACATTCAAATTACGATATGCTTCTATTGATTACCTGAACACATACATATTTTTATTAAATGCTTATGATTCAAAGGTTGAGAGAAATTTCCGCGCATGTTCTTAAGTGTACATTATATAAATTACCAATTGATATATCATCTCATTTAATTATACACATGATTTCATCTCAATAAACCGTAAAATCACAAGCTTGTTTCTATTGAAGTTGTGATGAGTTTCACAATTGACATGAGAGAAATTTGTTTAATTTGGGCTCTTTTGTGGCCATAACAAAAGTTGGCCCATCAGAAGTGGTATATGTGGGTGGCCAAACGAATTAATTCATCTAATTAAGATTAATACTCGCGTAATTAGCGACGTCTCTTTAATAAGTAGACAAAAAATAGGGCATTAGTCATCAATTAATGAAGTAGACGTTTAAGTGAAGTACCTAACTATTCTTTAGGGTTCCCAAAATTCTATTTATACGACCATGTAACCCAGGGTGGAGGATACTTATTCATCATTTAATTTGATTTTTAATCAAATTTCCGTTCAACTTTTTAAAATATACATATATATATATATATATATATATATATATATATATATATATATATATATATTCAAGTATGTACAATAATTTTTTAAAATAATATATTTTTTAGTTACAACATTCGTTTATAAATGACATGGCAGGTTTAAAACTATAAATTTTAAATGATATTTTTGGTAAGTTATATTTTTAATTTAAGGTAAAATAATAAAAAATGTTTTCTTAAACGTCATTCTAATTCAAACATATAATTTGTTTGGCCAATATTAGGGAAGTCGAAATATTTATTTTCTTAAAAATGCTTATTTTAGAGAATTGAGTTGTTTAAACTAGCTTTTAGTAAGGGCCCGTTTGGCCATGCGATATGGTATTATGATATGGAATTATGATATGGTATCATGATATGAAATTATGAGATGAAATTGAAGGTTTGTTTGGACATGTGATATGAAATTTTTGTGTTGTATATTTTCTCATAAACATAAAAATTTCATAAGTTGTAAAACTATTAAAATAGCCTCAATTATTTATTCAATCTTATCAAATAATTTTTTTTAAATAAAATCGCATAAAAAATTATTACAAAGTTATTTGTTCTCCACTTAAGCAATTGTTTCATCTAACTTTAATTTAAGGGAAAAGGGTTAAAAATGCCCTTAACGTATCTCAAATGGTTCAAAAATACCCTCCTTCCACCTTTTGGTTTAAAAATGCCCTCAACGTTTTTTAAGGTTCAAAATTGCCCTTTATTAACAGAACAATGACATGGCAATTGTGACATGGATTTTCTTTACCTATTTCAAAATATATGACCCACTTAATCTAGAAATCCATTTCAAATCTGACTCGATATGACCGATTAATTTTGGATCTTTTGTTTCCATTTGTTCTAACTCTCTTCTTTCTTCCTACCTCCTTCAGTTAATTTCAAGAAGAAAAGGAAGGAAGAACTACAAAGAATAAGGTTAGCTAAATCTTGAATTTGTTCCTTGCTGACATTGAAACGTTCAAGAAGAAAATAAGATTTATCTTCATTTGGTTCTGAAGCCTCCTGCTTCCAACTATAAACACCACCATTCAAGCTAATGACCAACCAAAAAATCCATTTCCAAAGAAAATGAGCCATAAAAACAAAAGCTTCATTTCCCATCTCCACCCACAATTTGGTCCTAGCAAAGACTCTCTGGCCTTCTTCAGCCTAAAACTTGAAGAGAAGCTCTAATTCGTGCCCAACAATTTGCAATTTACAGACATCTTTAATAGAATCCACCTACATATCTTCAGAAAATGCCTTGAAAGCTTAGGAACAAACCAACCCAGAGCAGAAAAGCTCATCAAAAGTCAATAATTGACCTGAATTTCAACAATTCTCAAGCAAAAACATCTCATAATTCCAACAGAAATCTGAAACTGATCAATATCAAGATTCTGCTGTAAACCCACCTCTACCAACTCTTAATCAAACTCCTAAAAAAGCAAAACATTACCTAAGTTGCAGAGTAATGGAATCAACTGTGTAAAAGATTGAAGAAACAAAAAAGTATTATCTGAAGAACATAACTAGAGGCGTTGTGATTTGCAACCCTCAATCGCCATCGTCGGATGCTACAAAAGAGGTTGAGAGTCGTCCTAAAATGGAGCTCAAAGATAAGATAGGTTAATATGAAAATGGGTTTTTGGGTGGGTTTAAGTTTTTGTAGCACAGATGGGTCGGGTCGTTGGGCTGGATTTTAAAAATTAAGTGGACCAATAAGATAAAGTCACTTGGCTAATTAAATGAGTCATCATTTATTATGTTAGTGGGCTGTTAATAAAGGACAATTTTGAACCTTAAAAAAACGTTGAGGGCATTTTTAAACCAAAAAGTGGAAGGAGGGCATTTTTGAACCATTTGAGATACGTTAAGGGCATTTTAAACCCTTTTCCCTTAATTTAATAAAAAAAAATTGAACATAAATTGTAGTGTACTTGTCTTTAATATAATCCTCTCACATAGTACGGACAATTTTCTCACGTTGAACTTGCATTTCTCGATCATGTGACCGAGAAGACGAACCAACATTGTTACTTTGAGCCATTTGTTGGTCAATATCCTCCGCAACTATATTTTCATGTTCATAGACCATAAATATTTCATCACTACTTTGGTATTCTCGCAAATAATTATGTAGCACTGCACAAGTTATGACAATTTTCACTTGTGTATCAATATCATAATGGTTCATGTTTCAGTATTCTAAATCTATTTTTCCAAGCTCCAA